CATCCATCCATCCATCCATCCATCCATCCATCCATCCATCCATCCATTATCTTTTACCTGCTTCTTCCTTTTTGGCTCATGGGGGTCACTGGTGCCCATGTCCAGTAGTCACTGTGCAAGAGGCGGGGGACACCCTGGGCAGGTCTCCAGTCCATCAAAGGGACACATGGAGACAAATGAGACGTACAACTGTACAACATTATCCATCTCTGTCTTTGCCTTTGGTGACGAGTGATTTAAAAAAATGCAATAATTAGATTTATTTTTGAGATTGTTGTGTTTTGTCTGCTCTTACTGGGTTTTGAAACGGGGAATTTCAAGATCTGTCCCTACGTTGTAACAACTCAGTCAGGGACTTTTTTTGTTATGTTGTTTTTCTATACGTAGGTCCTACATATACTGAATTTTACAACTTCTAATTTGGTTTTCTTGTAATTTTTTTGCTTGTTTTCTGTGTATGATCTCTAGGAAACAGCGTTCTGAGATTTCTGTCGGCAGGCACCTCGTTACCCCGTTTGTTCCCTGTCTTGGTGCAGTTCATAGCATAAATGGTTTCCATTGGTTTCTGTTGAAAACAAGGTCGTTTTGGATTGGGGCAAATGTTTTCTGGATGAGTTGACCGGTGCAATACGTCCCTGAAAGCAAGACTCAAAGACTGTAGGAGTGGCAGCAAATAGTGGAAATACTTTTTCTATATTGTTATTTAGCAAACTTGCTTTTTTCCTGATCTCAGTCACAGCATGGCATACCTTTTGGTTTGCTCTCACTTTTTTACTCTCTGCTGCTGCCAGACAAAAGTAGGATTCAGTGAACATAGAAAAGGCTGCACATTTCTCTTTTAGGTTGTGTTTCATTTGAGAGAAGCAGAGCTCAGCAATTTTCAAACCATTTGTGATTTTATGTAATGTAATTTTAGCCTTTTACGGTTTATATTCCTTTTTGTATTACTTGATATTGTTCAAACTGTAAACTTTAATTTGTTAGCATTTTGATATTTTATATTATATTAAATCCTCTTAAAGCAACAGATTTTAAACTCTGTATGAAACTCGCCACAAATGAGCTAACTTTACCCTGACATTTTGCTTAGCTGGAAGTTTTGAGTTCAGAGCAGCGCTTCTGATCTGACTGAGCTATGAGTCAAAGGTGAAGTGTCACAATCAGTTATGCATGAATGACTGTGCTTAGCCTGGCGCTTCTCGTCTCCCTGAACTGCTTAGATGATGCACAAACCCAAAAATGTCCTTTGCCCAAGATACACTATTTAGTGCGAACTTCAGAGTCGGGTAATCCCTTGTGGCCAAACAATCATCAGATCTGTACAGAGTGAACCAGAAAGGGAAACATATTCAAGGGGAAGTGATCAGAGAGCATGTGGTGTAATGCACACTAACCTCCTCCCACTTTTCAGTTGGACTAACACTAATCCACTGGTCACGTGACCACAGGCTTTCAGTCTGGTCTAGGCCAGGAGTGCTCTGATCCATCTGTCAAATAAGGTTGCTGATTGTTGGCATTCACACTGAACTGCTGTCCTTTGACCTCCTGCCCACTCTGCAGTAAAACTCATGATTTCCATTGACGAAAACACTTTGCTGCGGTCTCATTAGAATTTTTCATTCAATTTTCCCTCGTTGTCTTTTCTGTTATCTTGCATTGTCCTTCTGTTTGTGTCTTGGCCTAGTTTTTAAAGCATTCCCTCCAGCGCGGTCACTTCAGGTGGAAGGGGAATGACCGTCAACCCCTCCAGACTCTGAAATCACGATAAGGCTTTTTGGTTACTATCTCACCGACACACTAAGCAAAGTGTTCTGAGCCAAATGAAGGAAGTGAAAATCAGAAAAGGGGTTTTTCTTCTAATTCACTGAACGTTGCTAAGCATGCTTCTGCCTTAATTGCTTTGATTTTACATTGTGTGGAAGATGTTGGCCAAAGGTCCGCTCATAATAGAATGGATAAACATGGTCTGGACTAATCGTTTTCTATGTTTACACAAAACTCTTCTGCAAGCCTGAACACATAGGAACCAAATGTAGTTGCACCTTTACCGAGGACTGTGCGAAGCCTGGAGAACGTTGTCCTGCGTCCATGTCTAGAGGCTGCTTTATGGTGACTTTTACAATACATGAATACAAGACACTATTCTTGATTCTTCCAATATGTTTTTTTTTAAAATAGAGACAGACAGCTGGCAAAAAACTGGCTTATAAGCCACTCGTATAGTGCCTTCAACTCTCACAGTAGAGGGTTTACTGTTCATACATCTCCATATTGTTCTATGTTGTCTCTCTGATCCCCTTCTAAATGGCAAAACTTTCAACATGGCTTCTGCCTGTAGACGTGGGTTTGTGAGCATAGCGAGTACAATAATACAACACAACTTTATTCATAAAGCACTTTAAAAACAACACCGTGGGCCAAAGTGCTGTTCACTAACACATACAAGCATAAAACCCATAAAATCAACTAACACTGTAAAAGTAATGAAATGCCAAAGTAACAATAACCAGCAAATATAATATAGTAACTAAATATAACCATACATTTAAAACTGTTTTGACAAGGATCCTCGCAGGCCTGTCGTGATAAACGGTAATTGGGGACTCCAATTGGAGAGTGGT